ATACAGGTGATATAAAAAGTGTTTCTGTTAAAGGCATGTTATAGCTGAACAATGTAATTTACTCTCAGCAATATAACTAACATTACGAATGCAAAATTCGTTAAAAAATATGAATTATCTTATCTATTTCTTCTTAGACAAAACTTTGCACAAATGTGTCTAGCTATATACCTATATAAAAGAAGTGACGGTTGGTAATGTTACTGAAACTCGAGAACGGGAACCGATTTGACTAATTTTGGTTTTAAAATATTTGGAGAAGTCTAAAGAAGGTTTAAAAGGTTACAAATATAAAGAAGATACAAGAAAATAGTGCAGCTGCAATATTTGTTTTATAGGAACCGTTCATAGATGTCACTTAATTGAAATTTTAACATAGTTTAATTCTTACGCGGTACGAAGCTTGCTGGTTCAGCTAGAATATGTATTCTATAATTTAGGTTCACAATAATTTTTAACTCATTCGTAGAGACAGCCAATACTGGGTGTCGAACTAATGGACTTCAACTTTACTTGTACTGTTATTAAAAAAATTGCATCTCCATAAATAAGAATTCACTGTATAATTATAAATATTACTAACCATAAAAAGACATCCGTGTAGGCATCGCTCAGACCTACAAGTTTCCAGCCATTTGTTTTATTACTGGCAGCGGCTGAAAGAAAATAAAACCGGTCACCTATGAAATCTCATTATCTAAATCTGTCGGGATTTCTTACAAAGAAAATTTTATAAGCATTTATGTGTAACATTATATTTCTGTCATATCTATACTCCAAATAATAATATCTAAGTGTATACTAATATTATAAAAGGTTAATTACGTAACTTTGTAGGGGCTAATATTCTGAAATACTTGTCCGATTATGAATATTGTTTAACCTACGGAAAGCTACATGAGACGGGGTTAACATAGGCTGTAATTTACGCGGGTAAAGTGGTGGGAAATTATCTCGTAGGGTATATTTGTAATTTACTTGTTGGATTAGATAGCGTCAATTCTAACCACTGAGCTACCCAGAACCTAACAGGATTGGCGAATTTTTCTTTATCGCTACTACAGAGCGTATTTCCATCAACGTTCAGACAATCCACGCAAATATTTTTACAAATATTTAAACTTTCGATAAAGATGAAAATTTGTTTAAATTACAAGTATATAGTTTTTATTTAACATTTGTAGAGCCATATCCACGTTAGCGCGACTCGCTCTTAACCTGCCCTTCAATTCTGTGAAAATCTAAACGCAAGTTCGAATTCACTCAGGTGTAGAAATTCACTTCAAAAACGGCATCCGTTCAATCTCAAGTGAGTTTTGAAATGACAGGAATAGAATATCTGAGACATAATATATGAATCGATCAATCTTGTTTTGTATGTTAATACAAAAAATTGAATCAATATATTTTTTACACTAAATTATGTGAATTCGGTGTGTGTTATACACGAAGTGAAGAAGTGAATTCTAATTTCGGTTCGGATTTTTTACAGAATGTCTATCTAAAGTCTTGTATTCTAACTATCGACATATTGAAAAGTCGATACTTTTAGACTATGGCAACGTTATTGTCCATAATACTTTTTTCAGTAAACTCCACATATGTGTGAGCGTTTTATAGGGCAACTTCACCCACACGTCTCACTCATACCGGACTCTTTACAGCGAAATATTAACAAGTTTTCCCGTTGAAGCATTAAAAACCCGTAATCAGAGTGTTCGGAGAGCGGTTCAACGGCCAGCTCATAAAGCGCCAATAAAGTTTCGATAAACAAAGAAACAACTGACCGCCTTAATATCAGACTTCTGCGGTAGGCCCTTCCGTGTGTTATTGGCCTTTTTATTGAACAGTTTCACAATATTGGGCATAAGCTCTATGTTTATTCAGGAAATGAGTTTTGTACCTTGTTCTTATTGTAATTTACATACTTAATTAACACTAAACACTAGTTAAAGATAAGGTTAATAGAAACTTTTGTGCTTCGGGTTTAGTTGAGCGAAGCTTTATTTGTCGATGGTAACTATTTAGTTGTTAATGAGTTAACTTATTGTGTCTGTATAGTAGGTGGTATACAAAGTAAGTGCATGAAGTTCAATACTTTGTAAATGTTGCAATAGTGATGAGTGTCTCGCCGAACTATGAAGACTCTATATAAAGACAAAAGAGAAAACTAGTTAATGAAATGTATAAAGACAGATGATGTATTGAGTGCTGAAAAGAATTTTTATTTACCTAATTACGCACAAACCATTATAGAACTTTTCTCAATAGCCCTCAGACCAAAATAAAAGAACAAGCCCAAATAAATAAAATTTTTTTTTTTTTTTTTTATATTTATGGTAATCTTTCCAGAATATTTTTTGCCCAATCAGTGATATGACGTAGTTTTCTCACTTTAATTTTTAGATTGTTTCGACTTTATTAACTCGTTCAAAACCAGTTGAAATTTGTTTTTCAAACCCCCTTCCAAGCGCCAAATATTAAGGCAATCTTGAAGGGAATTGATTTTTCGAAATTCCGTTCCGAAGGTAGTCAAAAAGAGTGAAAACGTTTGTATAAACGTCTTCTTTTCGGACCTATATCTATGAAAATTGCTATTTGAGTAGTTTAAGATCCTCGGAAGGTGATAGGTTATATTTAATCCCGAAAACCAGCACTTTGAAGGGTGCAAATGGGAGTTTAATTTTTTAATGGGGAATGAAGATGTTACCATAGCAACCATTATTTACTATATGATTTGTCATTGCAATAATTCTATCTAATATTATTAATAAATATTTTATTAGATAACGATAAAAATTGGTAATTGAGCAATAATAACAAAAATTTTTTTTTAATCCCAATCTAAAAAATGTTTTCTAAATAAAAACTCTATATATTTTGAGCTATACTAGATGGTGTCTATGTTCTGTGGTGTTACATATATTCTACATCGCGCTCTTTTGGTCACGGTTGAGTTTCAAAATTAAATGAAATAAGAGCATTAAGCTTTGCTATAATAGATGGCGTAAAGTATACTCAAACTGCGCTATCGTTTCGTTCTAAGAATTTTGCGTAGATTTCAGTTAAAGATTAGATTGATTAATAAACTTCATATTCGTGCTTTTCTTTCTATCTACATTTCAAATCGTTTTTTGTTATTTGAGCCGGACGAAGTCGCTGGCAAAACTAGTTTTTTAATAAAGTAAATAGCGATGGTAACCCGGGAAATAAAAGAGGAACTGCAAAGTTACCATAGATTATGATTTAAATGATAATAGTACCACTAAAAAAGTACAACGTGTGTCTGAAAGTGTAGATGTATTAAATACGACCAATAAATAATTAGCGGTCACGCATTTATGTTCGCATTAAATCTGAATTTATTGCGTATCAATGACTCGGCGCTACTTTCAAAAGAGAGTGTTATAATTTTCAGTGATAAAAAACTGATTGTTTTATTTTTAATTAATGAGTTTTCATTTTAAAATCTTAACGAACACATTCCCTAATATTTATCGTTATATTAAGAAGGGAAGCAAATACTTTTGATGATAATTGTGCAGTCGGATTAGCATGACATACAATGTTAAAGTTTATATGGAGAAGATTTTCAGATGGATATTTTTTAAATATAATACTTAATATACATCACTACATAGTATAAAACAAAGCTTATCTGTCCCTATATTCCTATGTATACTTAAATCTTTAAAAGTACATAACGGATTTTGTAGGGATAGGGTGATTCAAAAGGAAGGTTTTTTTATGTATAATATAAGGCTACGCAGGCGAAGACGCTGGCGGAAAGCTAGCAATAGCAATAAAGATATATTACTCACACATGATTCACATAGATTGAATTTAATGAGTAAAAAAAAATTATTAAAAATCCTTATTGCACTAACAATTTCTTTAATTTAATACTACTTATAGCGCCATAAAAGTGTTCACCGTTGCTAAATTTATTTAGACTTACTTAAATATATGCTACTATTCAATTAATTTCATGTATATACAAAAAATGTAATTTATATGTAAACCATATTTGTTCGATAGTATTAACGTGAGTATGTATGGTTTAGTTAGGTATGGTATTAGATCTCGACGCTGGAAAGCAAGCATATAGTAGCATATAGTAGTTCTTTAGAGACGAAAATCTTTTATTTTTTTGAAAATATTTTTTATAAACGTCCATGGTAATAAATAAGGTGTTAATGAGTCAATTTATACGGAAATAAGATATTTTTTCTTAGAAAAATATAAAGACTATCTACTCTAAATATCCATTTTGGTTTTGCTGATTACTATGCGTTTGCTCTCCAGCGTCAATTTGTAAACGTTTAAAGGTCAACGTTATATGCATGTGTTACGTAAATATGTGGTTATAAATAAGAACCCGTGCTGCACTTAACTAGAGTTGAATTTATGGATTAGTGCACCTGATCTGCAACTAAGCGGGCACTTAACTTACTCAGTTATTCTCAAGAGGTACAATACCTTCTTGTTTAACTCTGATATTTTCAAGTAAGTAGGTAGCTGTTTTATACTGATACTTTATGGTAGTTTTAAGTTTATACTTTGTAGTTTTAATCGCTACACTATTTAATGATTTCCGTCTCTTGCTACGTAACAAATTGACTGTTTTTTTACTTGTTTGTTAAAAAAAATAACTTATTTTTGCATTCATTTACGTTGGGTAAACAAAACTAAGGTTTTTAGAGTAAAATTTGAAGTTCAATATTTATATTTTATTTGAGATCGGTGTGGTATTTTATTTGAGAATTAAAATTTTATATTAATGTACTTATACACTAGCTACTATGACACTAGCTTTCCACCAACGGCTACACTTATGTTATCCCGTATAAACATATCAACCTTCTTCTTGAATTATTATATATTGATGAAAACAATATAAAAGATCTTAGCGTACAGACAGCGGGTAGTGACTTGTTTAATACTATGTATAAATAAATAAAAAAGTATTATTTATAAGAATATAATTTGCTTTGTTACAGATCTCAATCAAGATGGTATGAAACGAAAGATTCGTTTATAATCCGCAAGACGTAGCCTAAAAGGTGAGTTCACTGTTCAATACTGTGATAATAAAAGGAAAAAAAAATATAAATCTTCCGCCATTATCTGAATATTCCAGTATCCCAACCAGTTCGAGCGTATCCACCTACCGGTGCATCGGACGATATATCGCCATGATTCTTTTGAATTTTTCATTCCCCTGTTCAAATTGGAAGTCACCCACTTGAGAGAAAAGGACAGACGAGAACTAACATTCTCACGAACTTTGAAGTTTTCGCGTGAGTGTGAAAGAGACAGTGGCCAAAGTAACATGGCGTCGCCTCTACGACGTACGGTATGGCGGCAGACCAAAATTCTCGGGCACACATCAAAAGCTTGCTCGGTGTATTAGTGTGTGTATGTATTATCATATTCTTTGATTGGGAGGGTCTTTGTCTCAGAGGTCAACAACATTTAAATTAATTATATTTATTGTAAACATTTAAAATTCCATTTTATTGATGTTAAATAAATGAGCAGAATATCTGAAATTAGTATGGATTCTGAATAGATTATGAAACTTTTGTACTCATACAGAAAAACTGTTAAGAATAGTTTCCTTATATTATTAGAAAAACATCAAGAAATATGGAGGAAACTAAAGGTACAATTATTTCATAGGTATATTATAAAAATATTTAAAAAAAATAGTATATTTCTTTCTAACAATTGCAACAGATAGGTATAGGTTTGTTTTGCTCTTGGTAGACATTATTTTTGAATCTAGTATCAAGTATTTTAATGTGTTAAATGAATATAAAATATCCAGAAAGACATTTTTTTATGTATAATAAATATTGTTCATAAATAAAACTAACAAATATTAAAAATTAACTTCGTATCATAATGCAAAGGTTTACAATCTATGGCTTCTATAGAAATTATTAATGTTACGTACAGATGGCGCTGCCTTAAGAAATCAAGTAGCTTTCAAGTTGTATTGATATCACAGACATACTGATATTATAGTAAAAACTTTTAATTACACTCAATGTTTGTATCTTTAGAATGTAATTACACTGTGAATTGAATAAAGTTAAATTGACGGAAATTTAATACTAGAGCTAAAATGAAACTTTAATTTTCTTCTGAATAGCTCTACAATTTATTAATAATAATTTGTCACCCTTATTTATTTCCCTCTGCATAAAGATTATCGTAAGATATTAAAAAGTTTTGATTGTATCATGACATGTCCTTCTTTTGGTTTAGTAATAATGTTTTCTTATTTGCAGCATGCCGCGAAGCTTTTTTAAAGCTCTAAATAGTTCAACCTCAGGCTAATAGATGGCGGTTAATATAAGTTTATTATCGTGTTGTGATTATAAATGCCTAATTTATTCGTCTAAAATAGAATACTAAACTAACCATTTATATATTGTAAGATAACATCAAAGATGTTAGTCTCCATTGTTTTATACTTTAACTTATCAAGTTTTGTTTTTGTTACTGGAATAAGATAACATCCTATCGTTTCTACAGTTTTCCTACTTATACCTTATACAACCTACTTCATATTTTTTTGCAATAGATTTATCACAATAGATTTTACGACTTCTATAAATTAAATCATAAAACAAAAATTATTAGCTAAATTCTATCTTCAAATTATGTAGGATGTAATTTTTAGAAATTAATGACCCAAGTATCATTACTAAAATATAAACTTTGCATACATATACCAATTTTATTTTACACTTATGTTTTTCAAAGCAATAGTACTTTATAAAATCCCAAAAGACTTAGAAATTATTATAAAGACAAATTAATATTCATAGGCAACAAAAAAATGTTTCGTTATGCACAGTAAAAGATGCAGTAAGACAAATATGCATGCGCTTCCTAGAAAAGAATGCTGACCCAATTTTGTTAGGAAATTCAAATTAGTTTTTTGCTAACAAAGAGAAAGCTACAATTGTCAGTTTAGTTTTGTGTATTAACCAAGAAAGTGGTGTTGTGCGTTAAGAAAAATGTTTGTGATTTTTATTTTTGACTGTTTTTCAGTTTTTAATTTAGTTTTTCGTGTAATCTTCGCGCACACGCGCTTTTCTTGGCTTTATGCCAAGCGTTTGAAATCGAGACACAAAACCAGATGGCGGTGAGGATGTATTTTTTTGTAATTCTAAAATGATTTTTTACTTAAACATTTGATTTAAGTGTTGCTTGATGTCAGAATTTTTAAAAAGAATTGCAAATTTTCTATTGAAAATATATTGTGATTAATTACTTCAGTGGCATTTCGAAAGGTAAATAGATACCCATACCGAGCTTTTGACGCAGATATATGTACTTTGTTATTTAATAAGACAATACTATTATATACTTTGTAAAAATCGAACCAGGAAAAATAATGTAACATTTATTGATTCCATATGATAGCCACATTCATTATTAAAGTAAAGCAAAAGAAATACTATAGTGATATTAAGTTTTACTTACCTAGGTATCAAGCTAGTAAAAGTCAAAAACAAAAAGTATCAAAATATATTAGGATTTTTTTATTAATATATATTTTAAAGAACCGCAATTAATTGTACGAAAAATAATTAAATAAATTAAAATTTATAAATTGACACCTATTTTATTATAAAAATAAAAGGTCATTTTAAATACGTTATTCGTATCTTTTCCATAATTATCATTTAAATGATAAAGCTAATATTAGCAATACATTTTTGTAAGCCATGCGAGCATATTAAAACAAAATGGCGCTTTCGAAAGCGCGCTGTGTGGTCTCAAGCTTTCAACGCTAACGAGTTTACGCCGACTTAATTTATCGCAGCCAAGTACCTCTGCTGATTAGGCCGAATTACGAGAATCCATGTCATTTAGGTACTCATTATAAGTATGTATTTTACGACTAATATTTTAGGCGACATTTTGGTTTTATTTAGTAATATTATATTACCTACTTACTTTTATAAGGAATATTTTTTTGAAGTTGTTGAATAATAACTATGGTTAAATTTAAACACATATCGTATAATTGCAAAACAGTTATTGCTATTATATGAAGCTTGTAAATAGTGACTAAGGTAATGTTGGTTGAAAACTTAGTGAGCTTGAATGTTGAATATGAAAAATATATTATTTTATTTATTTTTTAATATTGTCACTATTATCAACAGTCATATTTTTCTTAAGGAAAACTAACTAGGATTATAAATGTGAACGTAAAATGAAGAAAAGCAAAATAAAAAGGAGACTAAGCGTTTGGAAGAAGAACACTCAGTTTCAGTACGCTTTTTTTGCCGACCACTTCTGTGAACACTTAAACATTTCTCTTATTTCTCTCAAAAAAAATGAAAATACCTACCTATTTCTGTCGTTATATCGACCTCTGTTACGTAAAACGCTTCTTGGCTTTTCGCCAACAGTAATATTTAGGCATATGAATGTCAGTTTCCACTTCGGGCAACAGTTTAATGAGTATCTTAATTTTAAATGTATGTCGTGGGTCAATCTTTAGATTGGGCCGATCAAGATCTACCCGGGCATAACACGATATGCCGCCAATTCTTGATTTGTCCAATCGTATCGTTGAATAGTAATCGATTCAAATTATAGATTGATCAAAGTACTATGTAAGCAAATAAAATAAAGTTGAAATAATTATTATTTATTTAAACAATAAAAATCAGGCTTAGATCGAGAAGTGGCAGCATGTCGTGATATGTCCGGGCAGATCTCGATCGGCCTAATTCATCGATTGGCTCACAATATATTTAAATAAGTCTTCTTAATGCGTCATCTTAATACTTAAAAAATATATATTCACGGAGAACGTTTAAGTGCATAATTTGTTTTAAATTAGCTGTAGTATTATGCAATAATTAGATCTAAAAAAATATAATTAAATTGCATACATACAGGGCGTCATTAGGAAATATTTAATTGTAAATAAGTTGATTAGTAATTTATTTGAAGCCATAGATCCTTACTTAATTTTGCAATCACAATGATATATTGAATGATTATACATTAAAATATCAAAAAATAATTGAGATACCCGAGACGTTGAATTTTAAAATTTTGCAAGAGTTCTACGGTCGATATTATATCATGTTAGTAATTTTAAATAGAACATTTTAAGTTTAGAACAACTAGTGGTGTTTGGTTCTCGCGGTAAGCTTGATTTTCTCGAACTAATCTCATTAGTGAAGCGAGTTATCGGTAACGGGTGCGTGGGTGTGCGGCCGCAGAAACGAATTACCTCGTCCTGCGTGTCTTGACTCTATCAGATGCCACTTCTGTTCTAGCATGTGGCTGTAAACTTTATTACTCACATGGGTATCTAATCAGTGCTAATGAAACTTAACTCTTTTATTATATAAATGTGACAAATGTTTCAAAATTAAAAAGGAAACAAAATACTATTTTATGCCTAAATTTGTTTTTAAATGAAAATATGACATTGGATTATCATGTTATAGAAATCGATTTAAGAAGTTAAATATGTAACTTGCATTTTAAGATGAATTGTTAAGAGTTAAGTGTTTATCAGCAACGTATTTGTCTTTTTATATTCTATATTAGTAGTTAAAAAAAAGAAAGAATTGCGTCCACGATTTATGTACAGGAAAGTAATTGAATGCAATATAAATTTCATTTTATAATTCTGATTATATTTTTTCATTTTTATACTCATTTGAATAAAAGCTCCTTTAATTTCAATAGCAACATCCACGCGGGTGTTCTCCTCTCCTGAGTTATACGTCCGCCCGGCAATACGGTGGCTAACGAACGGTTAACAGTGTCATTACCGCTAATAAGCTCACTCTCAGATGGTATCTGTAGGTGCAATGATCAATAAATAAGGAGAAAGACTTAGTAATTAACTAGTACTTGTTCACGTTTGGTTAAGGTAGAGCTGACAACCGTCGTGTTTTTCCAGGACACCTCTTGATTTTAAATGTGTCCTAGATAGTTTTAAAGTAGCGTCCTGGGTTTAAAGGCGCTTTAATTATATTTATGTATTTTGATATTAACGCAATAGCTTTAT